GACCTCAACCTCTGTGCTGACTGTTCCATCATCTGCCCCAAATACTCCATATAAATATATGAATCTATGGAGAGAGAGAGAGCGAGAGACACAACCTCATTTAAGGCCTCAGAATTCAGATCAAGAACTGAGTAAGTCCTGGAGTCTGCACTCCCCTCCAATACTTAGCAGGTGTCTCCCCAGGGCAGGTGAAAGCACATTGGTGGGGCTGTGAAAAGTCACTGCTCATGGTGCACATTTTCTGTGGATCAACGAATGATTATTCCAGCTCCATGGATGTCAGCCTGGCACCTTCATGAGAAGGAAATTTACAGAGTGAAATCTCAAATGTTGCTCCATTTCTGTGACTCTGTTTCTGGACAGGAGCTGTGGGCAGGGACAGGCAGTTAGTAATGGGGAGGGATGGGGGAGCTTGACTGGCAGTGGGTCAAGCAGAATGATTTCTCACTGTGGGAAACTAAACCATTGTCTTAATTTGGACACTAAAATGAGTTCCTATTTAAAAAACAACAACAACAACAACACTTTTTTTTCTTTTTCAGATGAATTGGTGGTTAAAATAGGTAAGTCCACACTGATTTCTCAGTCTGGGAAATTATTCTCTTAACTTGAGCTATTGTCTCAACTTGTACATTAAAATACGTTCCTCTGTTGTCTTTCTCAGATAAAGCATTAGGCCAAATGGGAAAATCCTCACTGATTTTTTTTCTCTTCCACTCATACAGAATAACCCCCTGGAAGTGATACCGTATTTAATTTCTAGTACTCCCTGTGCAGTAACTATGTCAAGTGCACACTGTATAACCCATGATGACTGTATGTCATGCAGCAGGCCTGGAATAGCCCAGCTTCTAAACACCCCTTCAGTCTGTGCTTTGTGACCAAGAACTCCCAGTGGAGATGGTGCTTGGGGGTAGATAGAACATCCACAGCTCCAGGAGGAGCAGAGCTGGTCAGGGAAGTTGGAAAAACGTGGAGCTGGGGAGTACAGAAAAGATGTGTGGAGGATAGGCAGAGTTGAAGGGGGGTGTGATAGCTGTGTGGCTGGGAAGCACAAAATGAATTGATGTGGGGATGGAAGGAAGCACAGAATTAATTATTTTGATTTTTGGGAGAAGCTGGAAGCTCTACACCATAAAGGTGCACCTTACACCAGTATGTGAAATCTGATCTCAGCTGGGTATTCTGGCAAGCGCTCCTGCAGCAGGGTACAAAATCATCTTACTCACTAAAAATATATAAGAGTTAGCAAAATGATTATCACCCACATGGATGATGGCAGCGGGAGTCCAGAAACGAGAAGAGAGGCCAAAAAATGTTAATGTTGTTGTTGTTGTTGTTGTTGAACCCAGTGAGGATTTTTTTGGGGGGGTGGGAGGAGGGGGTAATTGTGATTTTTGAACCTTTTGGGTTGGCAATGTCATATTACTTTGATATGCCTATGTTATTGCGTATAGTAATAGGGTAGTGTCCCTTTAAATTCTCTATGAGCCCTCTGGTGGTTCTTGCCTTGTTCTATAATTTTGATGAAACCACATAACACTCAGGGCAGGAGTACATATGCAGCTAGAAATTGCTTGCATGTTTATATTCAATAAATAGAGTTATTTGGGTCCCAACTATTCCATGTTGTTTCTCCATACTGCAATTGTTATGCAAAGAGCAAGAGACACAATAAATGGCAATGAGGCTGGGCTCCTAATCTAGGAACATATAGAAACAGAGAATGACTGGAGAGGCCTAGTGAAAGTAGAAGTAAAAAGAAACTGGAGCCACTGAGCATGAAACTGCTCTTTGGGGACAAATGATTAAAACTGCCTGGCTGTTTTGAGAAAATGCAGTTGTTTGCAGACTCATTAAAGGACTGGTCCCCTTTATTGAAAGACTGAAAGTGCATATAATGGATAATGGTTCAGAGGATGAGAAAAAGGTGGTAGTTGTACTGAGTTTCATGGGGGCTTAAATTTATAAACTGCTGCCTACCTTAAGAGCTCATATTAAACCCACAGACAAAAAATATGCTACATGGACATGTGTGAATCATGGTCAATGCAATTGTCATTTCCAGCTAAAGAATTAATTGTTGTAAGAGGATAGATTTACAGGCAAGAACATGTTGTTCACAGTTTGCAGTATTTACCCAGCTCCAGTGAATTGACAAGAAAACGATTCCTGACTCTGACATACACTTTTTATATGACCACAGTCAAGTCTTTTCTGCTATCTGTGCCTCAGTTTACACCTCTGTAAAATGAAGATACAATTTCTTACTCACCTTTATAAAACACTGTAACACCTACTGCTGGAAGAGCACTATTCACTGACCAAAAACTTTGTGAATGCAGACAGTGTCTCATACCATTCTATTCCATACCATTGTTACTTGCAAATTATAATTAAATGTCTGAAAACCAGGAAATACAGTTAAGGTACACAGAAGCACCATCAACATCATATATGGATTTTAGAGCACTTGGGAAAATCACCTTTAAAAAAGAAAAAGAGAAAGAGCTGATCTCAACCCTTAACCATTTAGAATCAGTGTGCCTCCACAATAGGAGTATATGGTGATAATGTTTTAATATTATCTAGTAAAAATCCCCAAAGTATTGTTCTTCTGTAGCTTATCAGTTAGGACAAATTGTAGTTGACAAAATCAGGTTACATTTTATAATGACATAGTTTGGATAAAGCAAAGTGCTGACACTTCGATGTGTTTCTTTTTTTCAGGATCTGTCGAAATGGGAATTAGTAAGTCTGCATGGATTTTTCAGCAGTTTAACTCAGAGAAGTTCAACAGGATATACATATATTTATGGTCTTTTTTTTAATTTTTACATCATCCTGTCCACATAAATGTCTGTAGCTGTTTAGGTTTGATACAGCCGAGAGTCTGATCCCATGAACAGAACCACATATGCCTTAATCCAACATAGTCCCATTGAATACAGCTCGACATTGGGTTTTAAAATCAATAACTGTGAATTTTGTTTAGAGAGCTAAGGGTAAGTTTTTAAAGGCATTTAGATATCTAACTCCCATTGAAATCAATAGGAGATAGGCAGTTTATTACCTTTAAACATCTAGCCCTAAACTGCTGGTGAATCACAGGGACATATCAAGCTATGGATTTTAGTGCAGAAAATCCTACCATTTAATGAAGAAATGCTGTAAGCTTAACAATTGACAGTGTGTTATAATGGTTGATTGGGCTGGAACGTATTTCTCAGGACATATGGATTTTAATAAAAATCAGTTACATTTTATAACTATGCAGTTTAGATAAAACAATGTGCAGGTATTTAAAGAGGTGTTTTTCTTTTCCAGATTCATTCGAAAAATTAAAGGGTAAGTCTGCCTGGAAATATCAACAGGTTCACTCTCTCTCTCCTTCTCTCTCACTCACTCACACACACAGGAGGTGGGCAGTGCAAATGTTAACTGTACTTTATGGAATCCTTCCATCCTGCCCTCTGAAGTGTGTGGAAGCAGCTTGACTCTGAAGCAGCCTCAGGACCAATCTTGCAAAATCATCCACGCTCAGGCCCCAGTTCTCCGTTCCAGCGCACAGTGTGTCCTCTCCAGGACTCGCTGTGGGTGGGAAGGGAGGAAATGGTGACTTAAAGCTATCTTTGTACCTCCTCGTATTCTGGATCCAGTCCCTGACACTGACAACAGCTCCTTCAGAAGTGCTCTTACCTACAGTCAGTTGCCCATGTGTTGTACTTAAAGTACTGCACAGGATCTTTTCAGGGGGAATAAGGCAAACACCACATTTATTGGTCATACATGCATCAATCAACACTGTATCATATGCATATGATATATATTAAACTAATGCACTCACATGCGCACACACACAAGCACTCTCCGTCTTGTTGTTGTTACCAATTAGTTACTCCCCTTAACTGCACTGGCCAGGTGAGTTAGATGGGGGAGGAGTGGAGCCAGGCTTCTGCTGATCCGGATTGATGCTCCCATGTTGACAAGATGAAACCTGGGGTCCTGTGCAAGACACCTCACATTTATAGCAACTTCCCTCTCATGCAAATCTATACCAGATTCAAAATTTGTATCTGTGTCCGTTCGTCCTGTGTGCTGCTTCCTTCTGTGTGTTGTCCCAATGCTGTTCAAAGAAGGTGTTTTTAAAAGAAGGTGCTCGGTTCTAACCCCCGAGGCCATCAATATGTCTGCTCTTCTTCAGCGAGCCCACTTGACAAGTTGTATTATCCTTGGGTCGGGCTTCCATCCCCTCCCCAACTGGTGCAGCTGCCTGGAGGTGCTTGCCTTCCAGGCCATTACTCATTCACACCTCATTCATTCAACAAGGCAATTGATTAAGGGGGCGGGGAATCTTAGTCTATTCTTAGCAAAGAGACATTTTTCTTCTATCTTATTCTATCCTTAGGGGCTCTAACATTATACCAAGGTCCAATGCAAAGTTTCTACATGAGGCTTTCATACAAAGTTTCCATATACCAAGGTGTAACTATGCTGGTTCTGGCAGGACCCAACTGAGAGTGAGAATTCATGACAAATTGATTAAAACAGGGCAGTTACAGCCCAAGGCTGGGGTTTTTCCACCTCTAAGACAAACCAAACCAGCCAGACAAAGAGGACTTTGGTTTCACCCCACTAGCTAACCACAAGTCAAACAAGCAATTCCCTTAGACACTCCGGTTTCCCAGTATCACCACCAGTGCCAATCGTTATGGGACAAATGGTTATGAAAACCAATACCCCACTAAAAGAAAAAAGGTTCTCTCGATCCCAAAGGACCAAGCCCCAGACCCAGGTCAATATACAAATCAAATCTTACCCACAAATCACTGTGTTGCCAATCCTTTAGAATTTAAATCTGAAGGTTTATTCATAAAAGGAAAAAGATATGGTTGAGAGCTAGAATTGGTTAAATGGAATCAATTACATACAGTAATGGCACAGTTCTTGGTTCAGGCTTGTAGCAAAGATGGAATAAACTGCAGGTTCAAATTAAGTCTCTGGAGTACATCCCCGGCTGGGATGGGTCATTCAGTCCTTTGTGTAGAGCTTCAGTTTCTAGCAAAGTCCCTCCAGAGGTAAGAAGCAGGGTTGAAGACAAGACGGAGATGAGGCAGCCTTTTATAGTCTTTTCCAGGTGTAAGAACACCCTTTTGTTCTTACTGTGGAAAATTACAGCAAAATGGAGTCTGCAGTCACATGGGCAGGTCCCTGCATACTTTGCTGAGGCCTTGGCTACACTGGCGCTGTACAGCGCTGCAACTTGCTGCGCTCAGGGGTGTCAAAAAAACTCCCCCCTGAGCGCAGCGAGTGCAGCGCTGTAAAGCGCCAGTGTAATCAGCACCTGCAGCGCTGCACGCTCCCTCGCAGCACTGAAAGCTACATAAGATTTGGCATTTCATATTTATTACACTTTTTCATTTATTTAGTACATTTTGTAGCTGATAAGAATGATTACC